TTTGTGGTAGTTGGTCGGTTGACACATTCATATGTCTATCATGGTCACACTGCTCACGAGCCTCGATCACGGTACGAGTAGGTATCTTGTATTCAATAGTAAACATTAAAAGTAATTGCATCATGTTTTCATTTACTAAATAGAATCGAATCTTTTATTTTAGAAAATGTTCTAATCTTGAAGCCCGAAGCAAGATTTCTGGTAGAAAAACAAAATCGAAAGTAATTGAACATTGATTGCCATACATTTAACTGTTTTTTCTATACAATTTTCTCCTGGTTTTCCTAATTATTATGAAAACTACTTAAATATATATATATATACGAGTATAAACAAAAATTCTATAAAAAATCTCTGCTGTCAAAAGTTATTTAATCAGGAAATAATAACATTAAGAATCTAAAAAAACAAACAGAGATTATAAGAATTATATTTGTTTCCTATCAATTGAAAAAATAAAATGTCTCGTATTCCATTATATTTTTTTTTTTTTTTTTTTTTGGAATTCTATCATTTTCAATCAAAATCCGATACAAAATTAACGAACTCGTATTCAGAATTCCTTAAAATCTAAAGTAAATGAAATTCAACGAATACATATTCTTTCCAAACACTAAATATGGTACATGTGCTTAAACCATAAAAAGGTACTGCGTGATCTATGTGTAATTATTAATATAATCAATTTATAAACCATAGTATTATAATATCTTACATTTTTCTTGATGATTTAATTATTTATCTCGGATAACGGTTCGGATTACTTTTATCCGGTTTATCTGTATTTATAATGGAGAAATGATAATAATATCTACACGTATATCTATTTAAAACATTCACATTGATAGCTTACGTTGTACGGGATAATACGGGTATGTAGGTTGATCATTGTGAATATTTTCAAGCTAAAATGAAATAAGTTAAGGATATGTGTGTTTGTTGTTTGTGCGTGTGTTTTGTTTGTCGGATAACGCTTTTGAGGGGCGGACCTGTTTTCGCCCAAAATCAACCTTTTGGTATTCGGTCAAATGACCTTTTTACCCAAAATCAAAAAAAAGAATGATTTGGTGTTCGTTCAAAGTATAATATTATATATTGTAAACGAAAAAAAATGTTGGTTAACACAGTCTACGAGTATGCATGTTAGGAGTCGTAAACATTAAAACGCTTTTAGTTTATGTAAGAAACACCAGATTCTAAATTAAATTATACACCGTAATCTCGCTGATAAAACAAATAAGTTACAATCGAAAATTGTACTAAATTATTTAAGCTTATTTAACTTTAAAATATACAAATTTAACTTGTAGAGGCGAACAATTTTCAGTTCTTATTTAATGAAAAAGTAAAAAATATTGTTATTTTTTCATGTGACACAAATTTAAAAATGTAGTTTGTTGTGTATTCCATTTATGTTGACCGAACACTAAAGTGCTGTGCTCGATTTTATATAGGAATAAATAACAATTTAAATTTAAAAAAAAATTCATTGGTAACCAAAATGTTTTTTTTCGTTTACGAAAACCAAATCATTCTCTTTTGAGTTTGGGTAAATAAGGTCATTTGGGCGAAAACATGTACGCCCATTTTTAGTAGGTTATAAATATTACGATTATTTTTAATACATTTTCACCCAAATTATTAGCTTAGGCCGTATATACAGACGGAAAATTGAATAACGCGAGTGTAAAGTATCTAATGCTTAGAGATAGTTATTAGATTCATCGTAAAAAAAGCCAAACAATTTAAATTTATTCAAAATAGCCTTTTTTTGCTGAATTTTCCCCGAAACTAGAGATAATGTTAGTGAGACTGTTGTATTTGTTATTTGTATATTTTATTACCCTTGGGATTTTTATTACCCTTAAATACATCTTGAGATGAACTTCGTATTTAATTTTTAAACATTTTGGCTTGAACGAAAAATTATATTTACATACATCGAAAAATAATACGCTAAATGCCAAGTTGTTTTCAAGATTTTTGTAAAAATTTGACCCCTCCTTCAAAAAAAAAAAAAAATCATTAATCAAAACTTTTATTTTTTGACGACTTATAATGAGCCTCGAGTAAAATTTTCATATATCTCTGCAGGGCAAAATCAATTTTATCCACATTAAATTAAACAAAATCTAAAAAAAACTAGAAAACTTTAAACGTCTATAAATAACTAAAATATCGCCTGTATGCATTAATTTTAACGCGTTAAGAAAAGATCATGTTTAGTATTCTGTAAATGCTTCAGGTTTCTGACAAGTCTCTCTCGACTATTTTTGACCGAATCATAATAAAAAACAAAATAATGATAGATATCTACCATTGTTATCGTAAACTTTCCGGTTTTTCAATGTTTTTTCCCAATTTCAAAGAAAACAAGAAATAAAATAAAATATAACTTTCGTATTCATCAACTAAGCAATATAGTCTTTCAGAATAGATTCTACTCTTGAAATTCAGAACAAAATTCTAGTAGAAAAACCATACCAAGATCCGGGCTACATGACATAAGCGCCAAAAGTGTAAAAATGTCATAACATTTGTGCTAAAATGTGTAAGACATAAGCGTCAATCTAATATTATATACCTGTTATCCCCAATATATTGCATAAGTGCCAAAAGTGCAAAAATGACATATAATTTGCACCAAAATTAATATTTTATACATTTTATATAAGTAGATATTTAAAAAAGACGTCCTAGGATAATGGAGACTGGTGTAACCACTGTTATAGGTTACCTTTAATGTGTACCTGTGAGCAACGATGATAAATCATTGCTTACGAAGAAACGATTCTTTCTGAGCGGAGTTTAGTTGATAGTAATGCTTTGTCAACAATATATGTCATATTATGGTAAAATAATTAAATAGGCATTATATATTTTCTTCAATAATATTTGTTTTACTGATTTTCCCCTTCTTCCTCAGTTTTTATCGGATTTTCACATTTGTTGAGACTACTCCTGGGGAAATCAAAAAATGACCTTTTTAAAATACTTATTCCAAGTTAGATTTTCATTCAGGAAAAGTGCTATCATTGTAAATCGGAATAAGATCTAAGTATAGAAAAATTGTCCACAGAAAAAAAAATAAACATATTTGTAAAACCGTTAGCTTCTTCGTTCCACCCAGAATCTAAAATATTTAAAATTTTCAATAATCGATAAAATATACATAAAAATGTATGTGAAAATAAATATAATTTTAATAGATTGGTCGATTTTTTGGATAATTTTAAAAATATCAGATAATAAATTTGTCTATTAAGATTAAACGTTTGGAGTTTTTGAACGATATGATGTAGTTCTAAATAAAATATCACACAGACATCACGATTAATAAATACATATATTATAATGTAATATATCTATTAACCATAACATACAGGTACCTTGGATTTTGGCACTTTTGTACGGTACGATTTTATTTTTTCTTATCTCATTTTAACACTTATGTATTCCCCGAAGAAAATAAAGAAACCTATATTGCCGTAAATTTGTCTGTTTTTCTCATACCTTTTTTCTGATTTTTCTTAATTATTATGGAAACTACCGCCTCAATACACCAACTAGATCCAAAATGTTACAAAAAAGTTATCTACTCACTTTTTGATTGTGACAAATAACAAGATTTTCGGTCAAAAATTTGTTCATAAAAACAAAAAAAAAACAATTGCCCACATCATAGAAAACCAATACGCTCTTTGCAATTATCAATGACTAAAAAAAAATGATATTTTGTAACAGAAGTAAGTTTGCTGGAAAAAATGTAATTGTGTTGACTAAGTTCTACTACTCACAAGGGCCCATATTAGATTTCAATAGTAATGAAAAACACCCGACATTCAGAATTAAATTTAGAAAAGTATACTCATTTTAGTGAGAAATGAGAAATTTCTTGAAATTTTTTGATTTACTTTCAGCCTTGCACAAACTTATTTTGTGATAGATGCCTATTTAAAACAAAAATAGTACGGTAATTAAGTTTTTAAAAAATGTAAATGAAGAATGCTAAATTAGTATTATTTTATTATTTTATTTTTGTATTTTTTTTTTTTATTATTTATTATTTATTAGTATTATTATTTACTTATGAATTTTCGATGTCGGTTCAATGCTAAAATCACCAACGCCCAAGGACGAATTTCGAAAATGACTAATCAAACTTTAACAATTTAATAATTAAAAAATCATTTTCTCAATCAAATCTCCCTTCGAGGAGATTAGTAAGTATTAGTATATTTATTATTTTATTTAGTAGTTTAATTTTAAAATGTAAATATTTATATTTATGTTACAAGGAAAAGCTTGTTGTTTAAACATTTTTATAGATCCATAAATTCCTATTTGCGAGTAGGGCGAAGAAGATGAGATACTATGATTTAGGTATTTGTATGATTTAATATTTGCTACATCTCTTCCCATTGAAAATTACTAAGCACTTCCTGCTTAATCATTTTCTATGCTATATCTACGTCATCGATCGCCCGCATATAATTATTAATTTATAATAATGTACGTATGGTACTATATGCGACGATGTATTTCGTGAACGGTAAAATAATATTATAATAATATAGGCCAAACGCTCGTGAACAAAAACCTATAACCTATCCGATACATTTGTTGGTAACTTGTTGTTGGACTGCCGCAGTGCGTTCGCTATATGTTAATATTATAATAGGTAACTATCCGCATAGTTATTCGGCGAACTTAATTTTCCCCGGTAGGCAAATTTAAACTTTACGCTGTTGAACTTCGTGAGTTCAAAGTTAGTAAGAGTTAGACGAGCCATTATTTTTCAAATTTTTATAGGACTTTGATAATAAACTGCAATTTTCGGAATGTGCAGGCAAACTGATTATGCGGTAACCAAGGCGGTTTTCCGGTTGGTAGTTAGATTATCATCCATTCACACGACTGCTTTGCTTTGCATGGGATCTTGAGATAATGATCTATATCAGGCTAACGTATTTACTGGAAGAATCATGTGTTAATTTTGGTTAATGCTTAAGGGTCCACTGGAGGAATCTTGGTTTGAGATTGTTATTAATTGGCACCGACTGATCTGAGCGTCTCAGGTTTTCGATATGTTCGAAGTTGGAGAAAAAATTATGTAAAACAATTTGTTGGCTTGGATCTGGCACCTTGGATAGCGGCAACTCAATAATGGTTCTGACGGCAGTGATTCGAATAGCTTCCAATCTGCGCCATTGGTTCTTGGTGTCATAAGGAGCACAGGACAAACCCGCATAAGTGAGAATTAAAATAATGTACAGTAGAACAATGACTGGTATGAAGTGGAATACCATTATCAATATTGTGAACGGGATATAATAGGCCTCTGGTATGTGTGGCTTTCAATATGGTGTAATTGAGATGGACACCGAAGCTGAGGTTGCGACCGATATTTTACTCTAAGATATTTGACATTGTTAAACCAATCAATACTGGTGTTATTAACAATAATTTTTGGAATTAGCTTTCGGCTCGTTTGGCGTTGTTGTTTTTGGTAAAAAAACATAGTGTAATCAGTAAAGAGTTGAAAGTTTGTTTCATGACGTGTCAGGATATTATTGACTCGAATTAGGTGAAAGATAGACGACAAGCAGGATCCTTGTTGGATACCTGTATATAGATACTTGTTGGACGAATGAAAATCTGTCGTAAATTCAGACAGTGAGTTATGTTCGATAAGTAGGATTGAATAATCTTGATAATTCTGAGAGGAACATACACCTTATGATTGGCAAAACAATGATAAGCCATGGATATGATGTTTATTTTTTGTTGTAGAATTGTTAAAAATAGATCAGAAGGAAAAATTCTTCGAGGTGGAGAGAAGAGTTGCGAATTTAGGTTGGATTTTAATTTATCGATTAAAATTAACATGTTTTGAAAATAATTTATCAATCGATGCCAGGCCGTAATCTTTAAAATAAAAAACGGTAAAAGTTCTTGAAAAAAAGGAAAAAATTACATCATTTAGCTAGATTTTGTTCTTTTGATTTAATTAGCTGTTGTACAGTCAAACATATACCGGACGTTAAGAAAACTCGATAACTCTGAGTCTGAAACAATAATAAATATGTAATTGCATTTATCGTCACAACGTTCGGTGCCATTTAACAGTATTGATTTTAAAATCTCGTACTAACTTATATAGCCAAATCGTATTAAAGGTATTTTAAAAAAAAAAAAATTGTCTTTAGTAGTCGATAAAAAATAACAAACATTAAAAGTATAAAAAAAAATGCCAAAAATGTTAATGAAAACCACATCAAAACACAAGTTACATATACTTAAATATCTCGAAAACAGACGGAAAGTATATTGTTCTGGACCGAAATAAAAATATTACTAAATAATTTATTTATTTTATTAATAGTAACGATAAATCATTGCAATAAAAAAAAAAAAAAAACGATTCCGAGCCGGTCCCGATAAATCAGTAATAGTCGAGATTTTATCCTTTTTTATTGTAATATAATGATAAAAATCCATAAAAAAAAAATCTTATTCGTTAATATTGCCATATATTTATTTAAAATTTTCAAAAATAATGTTGGAAATGTAGAAATTGTTTTCTAATAGCCTACAACCGGACCAAAAAATTCACATTATTTAAGTTACGGCTTGAAAAAAAACACAGAATTTTTACTATCCAAAAAGTGTTTTATGAGAAAAAAAAATACGTCTTAGTAAAATTATAGCTCTTAACTAAACTAGCTAAAACTGAGCTCCTTCGCTACAATTAAAATCTCAAGTAAAAATCATGAACTTTATAACGCTGTAAAAGAAATTGACTTTATTAGTGCAATGATTTTAACCAGACTTTTTTTTTTTTTTTTTTTTTTGTAATAAATAACTATGACCAACTTTACTAAATAACGTATTTATATTAAAATAATTTGATTATTTTTAAAACCACAATTTCGGGTCAACTATAAAATAACCTTTATATAATATAACGTCCTTATCTGTGGAATTTTTATGAAGTACATAATTCGTAAAATGTTTACGATAAATAAAAAGGACTTATTATATCCTTCAATAACAATAAAGGATGGCGATACTTAAAACTATAAACCATCGAATGAATACTTTGAAAATAATATTGTGTTGACGAAACGTTAATGACGTCATTCTTTTATTTTATTGCACTCGAAAAACAATTCCGGGCAAAAACCCGACTTTTAACGCGTGATTCACAATGGTTGTTCGCGTCTTTTTTCAATTTTTCACCAGACTAATCGAATCGAGAAACTCCAATACGCAAAAGTCTTCCCCTCAAAACAGTGGTAGTTTTGATAAAACATCAAGGTAGGGGGCTGACTATCGACTGATCTGCGTTCAGAATCGTTTTTTCGTTATCTAGCAATGGTTTGTCGTTACTTACAGATAAATATTAATTTCCCTAAAAACATAATTCTCAAACCCAACCAGCTGATGTTTAACCTTATTCTATTATTCTATAACACTAGGTCTAAACACTATTATAGTGTTGTATCATAGATTATATAAATTAGTTTAATATAATCTGTGGTTCTATGTTCCGTCTCCTGTGATAAACACTGACGTTGTATTGTTGTTCCATTGTTATCAATTCAATGTTCATACTGTTGTGAAAAAAAAAAAAAAAACAAAAGTTTGGACATAATATAACGTGAAAATAATATGATGTATAGAACATACCTAACAGTTGACAAAAAAAAGCCCGAAATATCGAGAAGCCTGTTTGCAGTGTGCATCTTTTTCATTAAAACTATATGGCGAATCTACGAAAATTCTGATTTAGAATTTCAGATTTCACAATAATATTCGGTTTTTCAATTTGTCCAATCTTAAAATCAATTTGTTTCGGTTTTTTGTAACAATGTGGATGATAATAATAATTATTATTATGTTTTACGGTGACGGAGTGATAGCGACGACGGCGGCGGCGATGTTGTTGAAAACGAGGAGAAAGAGTCACGCGGGTAATAATTATTATTATTAAGTCGGGGGAAAAAATAAAAGGAAAACCGTCGTAATTTCTAGGCGCGGGATTTTATGACGTTTGTATATAAGTATATACCTAGGTACTTTCGTGTAACTACCGGCTATCTCGTTAACTCGCCGGTAAATTTTTAACAGTAATAAAATAAAAACCCGCGGCCGACGCCGTAACCATCATGACGGTAACCACGGTAACTCGAAATCGAATTACATATTATACTACGCTCGCGATGTAGCACACGATAAGTCGAGAGATCGTACGCACTATGTATTATATTATTATACCTATACAGATAGACACAGATATAGAAGGGTCGCGCGTATATACACCCGTGTTATTATTGTATATAATACATATATATATGTGTGTGTGTGTGTATGTGTGTGTGTGTGTGTGTGTGTGTAGTAGATATAGTCGTAAAATATAATACGGTCGGCAATATACCTCGAGTATAGGTATATAACAATATATACAGGACGTATTCCGAACGATAATTCGATTACGTATTCCCTTCGCCGTTTGTCGATAACAATATTATTATAAATTTAACGTTATTATTATTATTGGTAGGTATAAGTTAGGTAGATACGTTATTATTGCGGGTAACGATATTATTATGGAGTGCCCGCGTAAGTCGTTGGCCGGCGCCGCCGTCGTTGCAGTCACGTCCGCGACCCGCGAAATCCGTAAGCGGGTTTGAGAACCAAAACGTACAGGTACCGTATCCGCGGGTTATTACGATGATTGGCCGTAATTGCCTGTATTACTGTAACGAAAAGAAATAATTTCGGACCGGGTCAGTGTCCACAAGTGTTTTACGAGAGTCACGCAACTCAAATTGAACAGCTGAGTGAAAAAGGGATAATATTCCAAAAATACAAAAAATAAATCGAGATTAAGGACTTTTCTATTAAAAAAAAAAAAAATATTGATTATTATGATCTCATATTGTAGGAGGTTAAAGGTTATGTACAAGTTATACAGACAAGTTTTTATTTAAATACAACTTAAGGAAGTAAACATTTTTTTTTTTTTAATTTTTCGAAAATTAGGTATTGAGAAATATTATAATTTTTCCACTCAGCGATTCAATTATGGCGTCCAAATGGTTAAGGTTTTTTTTTTCGCGGTTGAAAGCTATCGGGTGAGCTTTTATATTAGTTTTGCAGAGTTATGGTTGTTTCTCTCTCTCTCTCTCTCTTTCGGAAACAGCAACACGTGATAAAAACGCTCGAAAAAAGTCCATCAATATTGCAGTTATGAAAATGCTACGCGGACGAAAGCGAACGTTACACTCGAGAAAGGCAAAACAAAAATACGACCGATAAAACGAACGAAACTTCCCGACAATTTGAACTGTCACGGATTAAGATGGTGCAATCGTTGCTGTTCGCTATTGTATAGTTACAGCCCCTTGAGACCCGATGCCATAATAACCCATTGCCTTCAAAATTCCTAATAATTTGCGTCTTTTTTCACATTTCAGACGCCCAGCAACCTATTTAGACATCTTTTTGTTATTCTGTCCGTCCACATTTGTCTTGCCGTTTTTTTAAATTTTTTTTAGGAGAGTACTACTATATGGAAGTGAGTATTCGACTGTTACTATATTATAGACACAATGAGAATAGAAACATTGGGGTCGTGAACATGGCAAAGGATGATGAAGGATGACATGTTGAATAAAAAGAGAAACTGATGTAGAAGATTTATGTTAAGATTATTGGAATAATGAGAACGAATTTCGTTAGACACGTTGCACAGAATACTATGGACCTGTTTTCAACATTATAGAGAGAAAAATAAATGGCAAAAGAGAAAAAGAACGATTGAAAGGAGTATTGGCTGAACTCGGGGAAGATATTATTAACTATACCAAGCTATGTGTCATTGAAGAGATTAGTAAATAGTAGAATAAAGAGATGGTCGGTTGCAGTGTCAAGAAAATGTCCACTTATTTTAAGATTTTAAGGATTTTTTTCGTATAGAATTTTGTAAAGAAAACACAGATAATGTTAAATTTAAATAATATGACGTTTATTGACTGCCACGTTAAATATCATTATAACATGCGTGTACAAGTTTTCAGTATAGACTATTATAAAATAATTAATTATCAATAAATATTTAAAAATTATAATCGTACGTTAAAACAAATATTACATTATTTTTATATGTTGCCTCGGAATTTCGGTGATACGCTTCGTTTGGAATGGCCCTGGTGGTTACCCGGTCCGCCAGATAAACCGGCCTGAAACAATACAGGGGGAAAAAAAAATAACATTATTACGGTTTTTTCAAAAAACGGATACAATACATTCATTAATCATTTACAATAATTCACGCCAAACGAAAAGTAGTACGATTATTTATAACAAAACGCTTTATATTTTCGTTCCTCGCCCATCCCACGTTTATCATCGTCAGAAAATATAACGAAAACGCGACAAACACGTTATAACAACAATAGTATTATTATTTTTGCACGACGGAATAACTTACTTTCTGGGCTTCTTCTACGATGCAAGTGGTTACGATACCGGCCAACGCGCATTCGTCGGTCGTCGATTGTGCTGGAAAAAAAAATTCACCAGAAATTATAAGTATAGCGTAAACAATTTGGAAAAATAATTGATTCATGTAAAAACAGTGTATTTTATAATACTTAATCTTACGTACAGGGTTACCGGAGTTTTCGCAGTTTATTTGCGTGTATTTGCGATAAACCAAAACGGTTATCGACTCGCTGCAAAAATACACCCTATCGAAATACGGCAATAAATCGTACACATATTTAAGTATAAATATTTCCTGGCCATAAAATAAAATAATTTATTATAGGTATAGGTACGTAAAAAACAAAAAGAATCTCCCGATTCCCGTGCGTTTCACAATATTTTGCACTCGTAAATGACAGATATTACAATATTAAAATATCACGGTTTATTCATACATCTATATACTATAGTATAATTACTACAATATTACGCTACTCCCCAAAACAATGATGAAATTTGATAGTTTTAAGGATATGGATTAAAATTCTTGAAAGTTACATCTTTGATACGAACATTAATATTAATAAGTGTTACAGAAGAATCGGTAGTTGAAATGAAGGCGAAGGAGAACAATAAGAAATTGGGATTTTTTTATTTTTTCTACTTTGTTAATTGTACTGACTATCCTAGAGTGATCTGAAAAAATATTTGAATTCGTCATGAAGTTTAAGTTAAATCGACTTTCATACATTTTTTAACTTTTAATTTTTGTTTAGTATTATTCACTTTTTTAAATTATGTAAGATTAAAAGTTTAATTAAAAAAAAAAAAAACAGACAAATTAGTTTAAAAAAAACTACATCTAGAATTCGAGGCTTTTTCAGAAATACCCGATTACTATAATAATTATTGGCACAATATCGGTCTATTCCGATAAAAAAAAAAAACATAGCCTGCAGTTCAATCAAAATGTACATTCTCTGATTTTATTTTTAATCCAGCTGAAAATCGGTTAGGTTTCATAGTGTTGTCTTTTAAAAAATCATGGCGCGTTTAATTTGTCTCAAATCGATATTTGTATCACGGTAAAGGTAGGGCAAGTAGGAATATAATACCATGTGATTGAACATCAAAAAATGACTAGGTATAAAAAAAATGACATACAAATTAATATTTTATTGAAATTTAAAATATCAAACAAATATATACTAAAAACCCAATATGTTGTTAAAAAAAAATATATATTTTTCCGGAATTTGCTTTTTCTTTTTTTCCGTCTTTTTTTAATATTAAAATAATATATAATGTAGCTTAGTTTTCGAACAAATAAAAATGTAAATATACCAACAAAAGTAATAAATGTAATGACATTTTCAAATTATGACCTTTCACTCGAAAACTACCGGGAAAAGGTAAAAAATTGAAAACGAAATTCGTACCACTGATTTCTGCGTGACATAATTCAAATGTCTATACTAATACTATCCTTGAGTATAAACATTAGAAAAATAGAGGCAAATACATCAAGTTGCGGGCCATACCATTATTATACTTTCGAAATAATGAGTGTGTCACGTTAAATCAATCATCCAGTATAGGGTACCTGCCTAATTATTGTTACCTATTAAATTATTAACGCTCTTGTCGAGACGGTCGCTTTATTGCTTTTTCCGTTATTGATTTTCGACGTACAGACATAATATTCGTATAATAATTATTGTACTTTGATCTGAAACGCACCAATATATCTACTACACGGAGTTATTGTTTCCACTACGGACACGTTGTTTGGAAATCGCACGTGCTTCTGTAAAACACACGTGTATCGTTTTGGCGTTTTGCTGCTTCTATATGTCTACGTAATTTTCGCGTATAAATTTAACCGTGAAAATTATTGGTTTCTGATGTGGTTATTTAGGCGAGACCGTGAATAACGTGAATACAAAACGTCATCAAGGAATGGTCGCGTTGAAAACAGTTGATCTGTAACGGGTAGAGCTAAGACACAGGAAATTGGAACGATTTAACGATAGTAAACGTCACGATTGAGGATATGACAGTCAAAAGAAGATTCGATTTTTCTGACAATCGGTATCCATTCAAGTGTATTTCAATTTGTAATAAATTCATATCGAAGAAGTGAAACTACAGATACCCATTGATATTTAATGGATCGCGAATACTATTGGCAATATTAACGAAATTTTTAAGAAAAATGAAAACAATTTATCGACTCGAAAATAGGTATTAAAATTCGCTATCATAATATTCTACTTTTAAAAATGGCCTCGGATCTGTATCGCGAGTATTTGTGGTATGTGAAATTTGTTCAAGTAAAACAGAAAAACCTCAAACGTTTCAAGGTAATTTTAGAATATTTACTCTTCAGGACAATCGGAGACAACGTTTCTGGGGATAAGAATGTAAAACGTAAAAACTGATCTTCTTTGCGTTTAATAAGAGCCGCAACTTATTTTTATACATTTATATTTAGCATAACGAATACATCATGCCCTAGATAAAATGGTGTTATATATGAATTGTCACCATTCTAGCTGTGTTGCGCCGCATCGCACTCACTTCAATGAGACTGAGCGATTTTCGACACGAGTTTTTTTTTCATGTTCAAAAACGATCACGCTATCATAGTGACGTTCTTTAAATGTTTCGAATATATTTCAAACGTCCGCGTCTATCATAATAATATCATTATAAATTACGCCTGTAAATCCACCGCGGGTTTTAAAATATTTCCGTACAAACAAAATTATTCGAATATTATTTATACATAATATAATATTATTATGATACAGGTACACGCGTCGAAATCCAAGACCTTTATCGAGACCTTATTGGCGGAGCGCGGAAAATTCGAGCGACCTTTTGTCGACCGGCTCTACCCGTCCGCAAAGGCCAAAGCCGCGCTGCTGACGAATATTCTAATATAAGTACCTATTGTAAAATTCTACACTTTGAATGTAAAATAGTATACGTAATATTATTCGCGGATAAATATATAGTGAAAACCAAAAAGAAAAGTATCGGGAGAAATATTTTACTCGGTATATTATAATAATGTATATGGAAAAGAGAGCGTACAAAAGAAGACAATTCTATTTACAAGATATTTATGGGAGACCCGATATCTATACCGTACAGCTATACATAACGAACAGATGGAATCAAACGAGTTACCCATGGAAGAACATATAATGGTGGCAGCGAGATGGGACTGAACAACATAGGTTAAGGTGTTGAGAATATCGTGAAAATGCGCACAGCCCTCGACATCGACATCAAAATCGGAATAAGGAGAACGGCAATATTGTCAATCGTCACAGGAAATAATATGATGATGGTGATTTTAACGGCCGCCGATCTTAAAATTTAATTTCGGGACGATGACACGTTTTATTATTTTATGTGGTAAGTAATAAAAACGTCGCCACCACCAAAAGCGAATAACAGAAGGGAAATTTAATATAATACAATATTAAAGACGACCACGAAGGAAACGAACGAGAAATCCTGTAGTAATACGAAAATGGAGAGAATCCAACAATAAAAAAAGGTAAGATAATAGGGACGGGTGCAGCGATTGGTATAAGTGAAAAGTTGGAGGGGTAGAATATAGACGAGAATTTAATGTATATCTATAAGCAACAATAAACCATTGCTTACGAAAAAACGATTCTGAGCGGAGTTCAGTTAATAGTGATGCTTTGTCAACAATATATATATATTTGTCATTTTATAGTAAAATAATTAAATAGGCTTTATATATTTTCTTTAAGAAAATTTGTTTAATGTTATATCAATTTTCCCAGTTTTCCTACGATTTACCCGGTTTTTCACATTTTCTGGGGAAAATCTTGGGAAAATCAAAAAATGACCTTTTTAAAGTATCTTCTCAGTGAAAGTGCCTTTTAGAAACATTGCTAACATTAAAAATTGGAACAAAATTGTTGATTGAAAAGTTGTGTACAAAATAAAAGAAGACCGTAATATGTTTTAACTAATACCTACATTTCTTATATTTTCCCTTTTTTTTTTCGGTTTTTCAAATTTGATGAGAAAATTCTTGAGAAAATCAAAAAATTACTTCTTTAAAGTACCTCCCCACACTGATTTCCTTTCAAAAAAGGTGCTATATATAAAAATTCGAGCAAGTATTCTGGTAAAAATGTTGCGCACAAATAAAAAAAAAAAAAAAAATAATAAACACCTTTGTAAAACTATAAATTTCTTTGTTCCACTCAGAATCTAAAATGGCGAAAAGGATCGATACAAGCGATGACCGCACGGGTGTTAAAATCTGATGAGTTTGAATTTTGTAATTAACTTTTCAGACGGAACGCCTAAAATGCGCACGGTTTTATTGTCAAACTCGATTATATTTTTCATTATCGCCGTAAATTTTTATTTCGTTTACCTTTTTTCGAGCAGATGCCAATGAGGTCTTTTGCCTTTTTCATCATCGTCTCGTTGGTTCCGTAGTAAGTCTGCGCTATTTTGGTCGCTTCTTCTTCCGAAAATTTTCCCTTGTTAATCTGTAAAAACATAAAATCCGGTACATCTAAATCCGATTTTCATTTTGTATGCAAACATTTTTCTTATATACATATGTATGTAGCCATCCAGTCCTATTATATGCTTCAGAGACACAACCCCTTAGCAAAGTGAGAGAATTAAGATAAAGCGTACTATTAGAAGGAAATTCTCAAAAGAATACAATATGGCCCCTGTATTATTGTTACCCTTTCGGAAAAACGGAGAAAAATAAATAATGTGAAACTATAATAATATAACCTCTTTCAAAGGTCAGATATAAGAATGGTGATAAGAAGGGGCAAGTCATGCGTGACGGTAATAATAAGTTGAAGAGAAATCTAACGGTAACGATCACTGAGAAGACTGGAAAGACTGTATTAAATATGATGTGGAAAAAAGTGGAACCGAATAGGTATGCAGTAAATGATAACAGCAGAAGATCGAGAGAAACGTAGAGGAATTTATTCGTTTGGTGGTATAGTCTCGAATTCCCAATGACTACAGAAAACTAAGAAGAAAAAGAAGTACCACAGATACATACCACGTTGACCTTTCTCATCAGGCAGCCCATCATACACTAGAAAAATAAAAAAAATACAATTGTTAACAATTATTAATTAAATGATTTGTCACATCAACATAATTATGGTTCATGGTGTCGGACATACTTTTTCGGCTTGTGATTTCGGTATGCTCATCGAACGGAACGCTTTAAGTGCATCTAAAAATAAATTTAAAAAATTAATACTATTATAATATTATCAACGTGTAGTACATAATATTTAACATATTAAATTATTATCCTAGGTAAAATTGTTCTTTTTAATAATACGTCAAGTCTTCTGTATTTTAAAGAAAAACCAATTTTTCAAAAACAAAAACTATTGGTAACCGACAAACAACTCTCTAATTTATACAATATGTAAGTCAATGTATTCGCCATATTTTTACGACATTTGTTTTCGTTATTTTTCAAAATGTATTACATAATAGTTACTCACCTTTACAATATTATATGAGTACATCTCGTTGTGAACTTTTTTGGAGTCATTTTAATGTTTGCGAACGTAAAAATAATAATATGTAAGGTAACTTAAAGGTACTTCGTTTTTAAATGTATTTAGAAGAAAAAAAAATCGCTTAATCTTTAATTTATGAATGACACGTTAAAAATAATTATTTCGTTAAAACGAGACGTTCGCTGCTCAGTAGGTATTTAATCGGTCCTAAATATAAACGATTTTTCAAATGAAAATGTTTCAACTAGAATATATTCAAATTAACTTTTAAATAAAACAATATGTGTTTAGTGTGTAATCGTGAGGTTTGTTCAAAAATACATTTACGCGAAACTAGAAAGAGTAGCGTCATCCTTCAAAGTGATAAAACACTTAGTAATATATAGGAAAATTTTCCCGAAACATTTACTTATGCATTTTAAACGTTACAGTGGGTTTTAAACTTATTTAAATCTCTGTATACCTAATATTTTTCTGAAAATCGCAATAGATATCGAATATTTTTTTCGTACCGAGTATTCTTTATATGATATTTTCTAAAAATCGTTTAAAGAGATACAATTTTGCCTGTTTCGATACTAGGTGTGCAGTGTTTCTTATAAGCGGTGAAAACGATCTATAACACAATCGTTGATTTGTTTTTGTTTTTTTTTTTTTTTTTTTATTAGCAATAATAGCGTCTTCAGAGAGCAAACCGTCTTACAATACACTGCAGATGTTCAGTGTAATATTATTTTACCCATTTACGATTTATGGCAATATGTGAATAATATAATAAGTAGTATAATAGTAGTAGTAATAGTATTAGTATAAATATTATAATAGTACGGTTACCAGTATATATTAATTATTAAGTTGCCAGCAATGCAAGACAACAAAAATAACAGTATTATAATTATTGAAAATATTAAAATAATTACCGCCGGACAACTTGGTTTCGGCCACGCAACTCTTGAATATCGACGCGGAACGATCGTTTGCAGTCGGTTGTGATTCGTTTTCGCACTGAAATCAATTGATCACATTTTACAGTAATTATTATTAATATGCCGTGTACTATGGGAGTAATTTTATATAATATTGGGCGAAGATGCCGAAATTTATGGATTTAGATTCTAAGTTTAATGAATAATGTATATTTGTGTTACACAGATCTTTAGTTTTTTTTTTTTTTTATTTGAACACTACTAGAAAGCTTACTCCGATGTACCTATATTTCACCTGTAAGCACTTTTTCTGAAAGGAAATCTGGTTGTAAAAGTACTTTAGGAAGGACATTTTTTTGATATTCCCAGGAGCTTTCTCAACAAATGTGAAAAACCAAAAAAAAAAGACGTCCTAAGATAATGAAGACGGATGCAGACACTTGTATAGGTAATTTAATATATATCTGTAAGCAACGATAAACCATTGCTAACGAAAAAACAATTCTGAGCGCAGTTTAGTTGATAGTGATGCTTTGTCAACAATATATATGCCATAGTATGATAAAAGAATTAAATAGGCATTATCTATTCTCTTTAATAATATTTGTTTAATATTGTACCGATTTTCCCGGATTTCCCATGTTCTTTCCGGTTTTTCACATTTTCTGGGAAAACACTTCGGAAAATATTAAAATGACCTCCCTAAACTACCTCCCCAGTGAAATTATCTTTTAAAAAAGTGCTTTTATTTTAAATCGGAGTGCAATTGCTGGTAGAAAAGTTGTACACCGAAAAAAAAGGCTATAATATTTTTTTACTAATACCTACATTTCGTACATTTTCAGTTTTTCCGACATTTTATCTCGGTTTTTCCAGATATTATAAAAACCGATTGAAAAATCAAAAAATATCCTCCCTAAATTATCATGCAGATAAATTTCCTTTCAGAAAATAAGCTACACTTGAAACATCGGAGCAAGATTTCTATTGTAAAAGTTTGTACAACAAATCGAGGGGTATTTTGTGATTAAAATAATCCGAGGGAGCGATTGCTTGGGTCTCTAGGTACATCCAAAATGCACTAGCCTTTTCCTTGTTTAGGTAAATAAATGCCAAGAATTTTTTTATCGACACACTGGTCTGAACTCAGAACCCCTAGGATGATAATAGGCATAAATAACCATTAGATCACAAATATGTTTCGAGAAGGATAATATAAAGTTAATTAACATAACATATAATATCCGAACTTCAAAAAAATATAGTTTCGAAACTTAGTCCGCTAAATTCTGACTTCATCATCGTTCTTAAATCGGCAATATACATATGTTCAGAAAAAAAAAATTAAAAATTAGATTAGTTGTTCCAAATAATTTTTTAGTCAAAATTTGATAATGAAATTCCCTTATAAAAAAAAATACTACATAAACTCAATTTTTTTTTTTTTTTTACTACAAGGTAAGACTTTTAATGAACCTCCTGTTAAATTTTCAAGCATTTCTGACAATCTCTGACAAAATCACAGTCTAACAATTTTACTACAGTGTACCACCGAATAAAAATTACAAAACTCGCAAAATTAAAATGTCTATAAATACCTCGGAAATGGTTTAAATTTTTTGAAAATGTTACCACGTTTAGAAAAAACAAATATGAGTTTTCTGTTAAAATTTTAAGTCTCTATATTTTTAAATAAATTACAACAAATAACAAAATTGAAAAATAATAAAAGCATTATTTTTATAAATTTTCCGTTCGAATTAATTTCAAAAACCATCCGTCATAGCTGCTTCGTTGTAACGTAAGTTTATAAAATATTTTTTGGATAACGTTCGAGACCCGAGTGACAAAATAAGCTAAAAATTATACTTTTCAGCGAATAACTCGAATAAAACTAACGAAATATAACGTATATATTTTCAAATAAAATATAATAAAAAATGTACTGCAATGTTTTTTTTTTTTTTTACATAACAATCTTTTCTTAAAAACATAAAGCGGATTGCGGGCAAACGACGCCAATTCTTTTACAAGACGTTGAAATTGAATTTTAAAGCCGTCTCGGAACGTTATTTCAACGTAGGTAACTACGCTGCAGCAACTTTGGATACGTATATATATATATTTTTTATTATACTTTCCACGGTAACCGCAGTAGGTATACTCACTTTAATTATTCCTTATACCAGATACTTATACACGCCATTATTATTATATTCGGGTGTTTACATTTCGAAAGAAACAATATTACACAGAAGGCAAGTTTAATAATGGAATAGTTTTAAATGTTAATTTATTACCGTGGCGAGCAAAGCTGTTTACACCGAAAAACAACTGAAAACCGCAAGGCGATTTTAAATGTTTTCAGCCGACTAAAAGGGTGGGTATATAGAAAATAATAAGTCTCCATGTTGTATCCGTCCTATATATTTCTCTACGCACAGTGGTGTGTTAAGTTTTTGCCAAGGAGAGAGACGTTGAATTAGGAAATTGTGTCATATTGTATAACGTGTGCCCATGCACGGAAAAAATTGTTTATCTTTGTACACTTTTGTAAGCAATTTATAATACAATTTGCCCTTAAACTATCATAGAAATAATTTTTAAAAAAAAAAAACGGATAATTTTCCCCGTTTATACTGACTACAAAGAAAAGTGCGATGGACATCAAAAACGACCCCACCGTGCTAGTTGGAACACACAACTAGACAAAACTTGTTACCAGAAACCACACCTAAAGTCAATGATTGGTTTTTTGGTAGAAAATTTGTTTATAGATAGAAAAAAAAGAGTACGCATCATAGTAAAACCAATAAATGTTTCACCTCGGTCTGAATCTTAAATAAATAAATGAAACGGACGACGATTCGGTTTGTACTACGATGGTTTATAATGCTGAGAGGATAGATACAATTAGTTTATAAGTTTAAATTCGACTATATATTATCTGTACAATTTATATAGTTTAAAACGATATTTGTTCAACTTACGAAAACGACGGCGACGGACAACGAGCACAGGAACGCGAATCTGAGGGCGAACATTTTGGTTTTTTATTTTAAAATTTCGCGTTCGAATTCGACTGCACCGCGGTGTTGTAATAACACAATTTACTATTATTTACTTGCGTGATTTATTATTTATTGATGTTATAGTGTATATAGAGATTTACGGTTGTTGTTTAACAGAATAGTAATAATACTCGTTGTACACCGTCCCGGTGTTTATATACCACACTGTTGTTCAGGACAACTGGTGGCGAATGGAAGGGAGTGTAATAATTAAAACCACGAGGATTTTCCACTTCCAGATAGAAATTCGCATGGGACAAAAAAAGGAAAAGGGGGATAGATAGGTAAGCGATAATCGGCCGCAATAATAATAATTGTTCGAAAAGCACTATTCGTCGCCAATTTCGTTACAGTATTTTTTTTTTTTATTTGATATTAAATTAATAACAATAATTAGGTATTTTTCCATGTTTTACAATAACTATCAACGATTATTATGTATATTGTATGTATATATTTATTTGTTTCCGATAGACATGGGTAGTAGGCGAAAACGTGTCAAGGTGTCGAGGAAACCGGAAAAAATCGTTTACGAAGCGCGTTCTCTTAAAGTGTGACAATAACGAAAAAAAAAAAAACAAATCGAGGCTAATAATTAAGAACAAGTAATGTCATGTTGAAATTACACGGGAAAACCTCGACAAGACGATAATTATTAAAATATAGTTAACATTTTACAAAATCGAAAAACAGTAATAATTAAAAATAATAAAATGATAATAATAATAATATTAGAACATCACGATGTTCAGCGCCGCTCTTCATTCCCGCCAACAATTCGCGGTTATAATACGCCCAACTGGAAAACAAAATAGACAGCCGTGTATATAATTTATAATACCTATCATAAATTTATCGTCGCAAAAACGCTGAACTTACGATTTTGGCCTGGGTGTTTATGCACGCCATCACGTGGTACGAGTAAATGCAAGTGCTGACCACGGTCGACGACACTTTTTTAGCTGTAATCAAACAAGCGGGTGAGTATTATGATATTTATCAATAAAATATTATTATTTTAACAACATAAATCATATCCAAAGACTCTGGAAGAAGAAAGGAAAACATTTAGTGGATCGTTAGATCGATAAACGACGACGTAGTTTTGTTGTACGCGTAAACGGACAACAAACTAAATTTCGCAAGAAGATTAAAAGACGCCGGAAACTGTTATAATTGCGTCCAATAATCAACCACAATAATGACCTGAAAATTCGTAATCAAAATCATTATCAACTCACACTTCAAGTAAATTTCAAATAAAATGTATATTTCGAAACGACGCAAATTTAATATATATGTAATTAGGCTTAGAAATTTCTAGCTCTAAAAAAAAAATATGCAAATATGCGCTTAAATATATAATTTGTTTATTGAAATTGTTACACTAAATACTTTACATGTAACTAAATTATTATTTTATTTTAGATTCGGAACGTAGCGTAGGATCTATTGGTTTAATTATAATGTGTGCTTCTTTTTTTTATACATTTTTTTTTCTGTTTGTATACAACTTTTCGAAAATAAACCTACCTTTTCAGAAAGAAAATTGTGACAGGTTAGTGCATAAGAGAAAGGTCGCACCACAGCGCTACTGATTTCATTGTTTTTAATTTTTCCAACTTATATTTTCTACAAGAAATATATCTTGAATCGAAAAATAATAAGAGATTTATTTGGTTTCTTTGAATATATACCCACTGACAATGAAAGCCGTTTTTTGATATCCAAAGTGGTTTTCATAATAATTGGGAGAAACAAAAAAATTACTACGATTTCACTATTTTAAATATTTACGCTTTCGGTTATTTACCAGAAATGTGGCGCCAATAGAAAAACAACAAAAGATTTGTTTCATTGAATATTTAATCTAGTTGGTGACCAAGACAATACTTTTTTTTGATTTTCATCGTAGTTTTTTTTAATAACTGAGCAGAACCGAAAAAAACGCGAAAATTTACGAAAATATTTCTTTTAATATCAATTTTATTTATTTGTTGTAATTTAGTTTAAATTATTCGTAAAAACTTAAAATTTGGACAGAAAACTCAAATTTGCTTTTTCTAGACGTGATAAAAATTTCAAAACACTTAAGCCATTTTTGAGTTAATTATAGACATTTTAGTTTTCCGATTTATTCAGCGGGTACATATAGATAAAATTGTTATACCAAACAAAAATGCTTGAACATTTAACAGAAGATTCATTATAAGTCATATTTTTTTATTCGTAACTATAAAATTTTAACGAATGTCGTAGGTAATATTACGGACTTTTAAAACACGTATAACAAAACTCTGATCATAATCGTTTTTCATTAACAATTATTAATCGTTACATATAGATATACATTAAAATCCCCTCTTAATCCTATCTTTTCAACTTTTCACGTACAACAGTGGCAAGCCCATCGTGCAAAGTACGTCCGTCTTTTTTTTTATGTACGTCTATGTACACATTTTCTACAAAAAATGTCGTTCCAATCAAAAAAAAACTTTTTTTAATCTAATTGGTGTATTGGGAAGGTATTTTTTTGATTATCCATGTAATTTTCTTAATAATTGGGACATTTTATGGAAACAATATTTTTTTTGTTGTTGTTGTTATTCGGTAATCGTAAAGAGCTGAAATTTTCTTCAATTACTTTCATATTAGCATTTTTTAGGCGTGGTAAAATTTTCAAACCATTCTAGTGACTTTGGAGTTATCTATAGACATTTAATATTTTCGATAATTATTTGGTATGTGTGAATAAAAATATTCTAGCAAATCAAAAATTTTTGAAAATTCTCTACGTGACGTTAACCATAAATTGTATTAAGCGGTAAAAAAAAAAGTTGAGGGTAATGTAGTAATTTATTTTACACGCATTTTAAGTTCAAATTTCGAACGAAAATCGTTATTATCGCGGCATTTCAAAACATATTTAAATAACTTTGCACAGTAACGTAATTCGTTGGCAATGATTTCTCGAAATCGTTTCTACGACAGTGGCACATTATCAACATATTCGGAACGTGAAAAATAGCTACACATTTTGGCGAAATATTTACGTACTCGTATGATAACTATTGTGGTTACAGCGATAACAGCAAAAGGAATACGTCATGCATAATACCTATTAGGTACTTATCTAAAAAACGTTTTAATCGTCTCCCGAAAAATTTAATCAGAGTCGTCTTACTACTGGCCGATTGCTGCACCGGATTTTTAAATATTGCAGTCGTTATCCTGACGGTGTTAGCGCCGTGAAAATTGATCAACAATTTCAAATAGTATATTAGTCATAGATATTATTAGAGAAAATAAATACAATTAAACGTCTCTGCTCGAATTGGACGCAATCGAATATTATGATATTATAACGACCGTTATAATGTTGAGAATATCCGCTATACAGGCAGAAGTGCAACGGAATTAGACGGTCCGAACAAAGTTCATAATACGATATAATATTATAATTTTGAATGGAGGTAATATTGTACGTTCGCTATCACGGTGTTACTAGCCAAACAAATCTAACGCGCGCGAATAATACAATAGTTTAAACCGTGTTTTTTTATTTATTTCCTTTTTTCCAAATAAATCATGTGTAGGGGCGCCGTTTACACGGGGGGGGGGCCTCCATAAGTTTGATAAATTGGTGATCTGCCCTCCCCTGTTACCATTTTATTATAAAAAAAAAAATTGTTATGTAGCTACATCCTCAAAATACTAATTTTATTTATAACAAATTAATTGAGAAAGATAATCGTTTTTTTTTTTTTTTTTTTTTTGATATTGATAGCAGAGAAAAAGTGTACATTTTGGTAATCAATCAGTTTCTTGGTTAACTGGTATCCGCTGTCTTGCGTTTTTTAAATTTTGTCAGTTTTTCATGATGCTCATACTATTAAAATTTTATAATATACAAAACAACAAATAACTATATTTTAATAATTGTTTAACGGACAATTTAAGAAAAATAAAAATAAGGAATACTCGTGTATGGTAAGATTTAGGTAAAATCGTGCATGTCCTAATAAAATTGTGAACCCGCATGACACTTTCAAAACCTGGTGCCTCTGATCGTGCGTTTATGTTATTTTACCAAATATCGCACAAATAACATGATATTCGAACGCGGATCAATATAAAACGACCGAGTGGTCCGTCTCGGAATAACAGTATTACTAGTAACGAGTTCACTGCCATACGGATTTAGTTTTTTTTTTTCCTTCTCGTATACTTATTGTATCACGACGTGTTTGTTGTTACGCCGTCGAAAAATCGAATAATATTCTTTCGTTATCGAATCGTACAATATGTCCTTTTCGAAGCTACCCGGTAAGGCAGTTATATTTCGGGGAAACAACATCTTTTATTTTGTCAACGATTTGATTAGGTTAGGTTTTTATTCGCTTGTAAATCGCACTGGCGCTTTTTCAATCTTCTAACATATACTATACTTATATTACTTTTTTATACTATCGGTTTCGGTCAAATGACTTTGTCACGGGGACTAGGGGGAGAATTAAATTGATTTTTTAAACATTTTTCAACTATTACTATATAATTTACGTTTAATTTTTTCTTTTTTTCATAAATAGGTAAATAGTTAGGTAATATCATATAGATATATACTATTCTAAATATCGAAGATGAAATGATCACGGGAAGTGATATAACCCCTTTTCTCCCTCCGTTTTACCACTCCTGATAGACATTTTGATATTATGAATGAGAAAAAAAATAGTATATAAAAGTATACCTTCTTCGTAACACTTGTCGTTTATCTGTTCGATTTTGTTTACCGGCCATTCCGACCAGTACTTTTTCAACGCTTCTTCGGTGCCCTGCTTGTTATACGTCCCGTCATCGTTCAACTGTAATATCATAAAAAACAAACGGTAAAACGTGTTAATTTTTTTCTTTTTCTCTTTTAACCGTAATGGGAACAGCGAGCAAAGTGCGTATTTCGAAAAATATTTACCAGTCCCAATTTGCTTATCATGCATTTCATCAGACACTGAAATCAAAACAAAACAAAAATCAATTTCAATATACATATATATACGTATTGCATGCTAACAAATATGAGCTATTGGTTCGCATATTTTAAAAATGATTTACGCTACACTTCGTTTCGGGCCGAATATATTTTTAATCCCCGGTGAAAAGTGCTTAAGTCAATGCTTAGTATTTATTTATTTATTTTTTTGACAGTCGAACAATCGAATTTTTTTTATAGAAGTGCCACTTGATTTTATAATATTACGATAGAACCAACAACGTATCCCTAAAACAGCTTGTAGGTAAACCATGTGCTGAAAAATAGCATCGCCGTTCAAACTTTCCAAATGACACTACACTTCTATTTACATTTTACGCGTATATTAAACGAATATTTCGACGTTTCGCACGGCTGTGTTAACAAAATTAATATCAATTACCTTTCCGCTTTCCGAAGTCGGTACCTTGTACTGTTTGGCTACGGCGAGATCCTCTGGAAAAAACAATCAAGAAAAAAAAGGTTTTAGACATAAATATCGGCGCGAAAACGGCAAAAAAACTTAACCTGACCCGAGTGTATTTCGTAGTTTACAGGGGTACATTTGCATTTCCAACACGTCGCGAAAATACGTAAACGGGTTACCTATACCTGCAGTGCCTTTCTAAATTGTGGTTTTTATTTATATGGGTGGGGGCGGTAAAAATCGCAGTAAACCGATTGTACCTACGAAAAATATTATTATCACATTTTAAATCGTATAATATTATATTTTTATTCGTTTTGCGTATTCGCATATATATTTCAGCGCGGTAACGTATGTTAACACCGACAAACGAAAGTGAAATATACAATTAATAACAATAATAATAATAATAATAACCTTTTTTCGGTTAATTCATTTTTTGTTTTTCGCGGTTTTTTTTTTTTTTTTGTGCAAACGCGTTCTGGTCTTTATTATTATTTCGTTTTGTTTAGTATAACGAATATATAATCCCAAAACCGTTCGTCATTGTTTATAATTTGATCCACCGGCAGAAACAATAACAATATGACGACGAAAGCACACGGCGTTTAACGCAGTTACTTAATTATTTATATATATATAAAATATACAATTAAAACAGAAATTTAACGAGATTCGTCGCGGTGCGGTGATCACACTCATTATTATTATGATTATTCCGGCCCAGTGCTGCGGATGACGGTTTAAAATAACGTTGTGGAAATTATTATACCGAACGGATACCGGGAACCGTCGACGAAATATTATTTTAAACGATTCCGTCCAAACGTTTGATGTTTTTAAAAAAAAAAAAAAATAATAAAAATATATTTGATGTAGGTACGCAAAACTGGGGGGAAAACAGACCGACTTTATTTTTTCTAACTAGTTTAAGTTTAGTTATCCGTGTGAAAAAAAATAACTAAGTTATCAAGTAAAAGTTAATTTTAAAATACAAATTAATTTACGTATAACTAAGTTAAGTTAAACGTTTTCAGGAAAATAATAACTTACGTCATGAGTAATAACATTCGTTGGAATATTAAACGCAAAACAAAACAGATACCAAAGTTTCTTATGAAGTCCCCTAAAGAAACGATGCGATGCATCTACTAAACGCAAAGTTTTCAAAAATGAGATATTTCCATGTATACCTACTAATACTTAACAGGTGTTTTTCAATAAATGAAAAAATTCTAAGTGTATTTTTCGATTAAAGTAAAAATCCATAATGCTTTCTGAGATAATGGAGTGTACCCACTTAAATGAATCACACCTTTCATAAATTATTATTACGATAAACATCGTTAACGTAAAGAATGATAGATTGTCGAAATTGATTTGCCGATTACCTACCGGCTACCACTACTTATCAATTATGTAAGAAGCTATGATCGCATATTACCATAATAGGGAAAAAAAAATTAAATATAAATGTGACAATAATACGTGTTATTGAACACTGAAAATAAGATCTATCACCCATATCCAAAAAAAACTACATGTGTCTCTTCCGCCATGAAAATGCCTTTGATTCGCTTATGAATCCTAGTTAAAACGTCTTTTTAGCAGGCGCTGTTGGTATCTATATGTATGTCTACATGAATTTTAACAGACAGACAAAACACTGTTTGAGTGTAGAAATGCCGCATCTTGAAATTTGAATTTTTTTTTTTTTAATACTCGATCGTACGAAACAAAAATGCAGTATCTCCTCAAACACGAAAAACATCAAAGATAAAACTAATATCAAAATAAAACTTTCAAATATATATTTTGAATGCTATTTCTAATAAAAAAAAAATAAAAATAAAATAAAAACTAAAGATTTTAAATTGAAAAACAAAGAAATCGAAAAACTCGTTCAATCCGACGAATTGGATCTTTGAAGAAACTATTCGGTTCTTTATGATAAAATATACAATAATATTATAGTGGCACTAAACATCCCACGTTTAAACTGCAAAACGCTAAGAAAGGGAATCGTTTATCCGACTGATTTTATTCTATAAATAAAATAACCATAGCGCTATCGCACGTTGCAAATTAATATAAATGTTTCCCCCTATAAGAAATACGGAAATATTACTGCGTTATTTTGGAAAACGAATTGCGCGCTACCGTTGAAAAATAAAAAAAGTTTCTGCTAAACAGCTCGGTGGGGCTGAAAAAATACCAAAGCGATAAAAGGGCTTTTGCACGGTTCAAAGTTTTAGAGAAAACAATAATATCTTCGGCTCACGCGATAATATTATTATTGTTATTATTATACTCGCGTATAATACCTACAGTTCGTGTCGAGATACCATATCCAGATCGTTTAACTCGTACATAAGTTCCACGGCATATTAACAGAAAAAGTTTAATCTCATTAAGCTCGAAAACCGAATTTTTTCGATCTGTCGGTAGATAAAATATAATTTCTGGGCCTGTTTTTTTTTTTTTTTTTTTTTTTTTTTTAATACAAAATTGTCGTTCGTTCTAATTGCCTACTGACGAGATTGTGCGGATATTGTTTTGTCGTAGGTATATATTATTTTCCGCTTTAATTACTTATACGGTTATAAATATACGTTTAATTTTAACGAGGTTAAAGTCACGGTGTCTGAAGATAATAGCCATGCAACCTACAATGAGATATTAGATTTTATTTTATTTTGTTTCAAGTCGACTTTTTATAGTCACTACTATCATTGATTACAAACACTAGTTTATAATATATATAATATATAGTATAATAGTATACACTATGCGTCATTATAATAATATTATGCGACCATACTGATTTATTCAATAACAATACAATATTAAAATCGTGATAAATACCGCGATCTGTCGGAGTAAACAGAACTACTCGGAAACGCTACCCTCTATTATTCGAATCATCCAATATGATTGTCAACGTTTTTCGTTGAAAAAATTGAATAATTATACGCGTGCTATATAATAGATATAATATTTATTATCTTTGAACGTGATATTGATCTGCAGTGTCATAATTTGGATTATTTATGGAGGAAGGGGAGAGGATAATACATTATTTTTAAAACCTACCGAATCCTGCACAGGGAGAAAAACGCTCGAGACCAATTTGTATATATTAGCTGACTTCTAATAATTTTTTCACCAATTTCAAGTACCTATATAAATATCATTTCAAAACGAAAATTAAAAAATGCGTTAAATTTACATTTTTTTTGTACGATTACAATCCACAATTCAATCGTTTCAGACCGACTAAGAAGAGTATGAAAACATCAATTTGTCAAAAAATTAGCGGAAAAACAGGGGAAATGTTCTCGAATAAAAATTACATTAATTTCATAAAATTTAATTACATCGATAACGATAAAACTTTATTAGTTCTAGAGTCTAGTTTTTTCAGTAAAAATACCTATATCCGAACGTTCCATGGTGCCACCTGTCAATTTTGCTATGACGACCGGAACCGACAAAATTCGTGCGATAATACAATAACAATATTATTGTTTGTACCATTGTCGAACATAGTGGATCAGATTTTCGTTTTTTTTTTTTTTTTTTTTTTTTTTTTTTTTTTTTTGTAATTATACCATTAATAGAAAAAAATTAAATTAAAAACAAAAACGCAGGAAGCACCTTCAGAAAAATCGAACGGATATATATTGTTTAGTATTTTAATGTCGACAAAACGGTACCTATTACCTTCGCTGGCGTTGCACGCTTTTCCATATTGATCGATTTGTTCTGTCGTGAATCGCCCCTATAATAAAAAATGATAATCAAAAACAAAACAATATTTCTAAACAATTAAAACAAATATGTATAGGTGTCCCACGAAGATATATCTATAGAAATATCTCTGGGGATAATAAAGATAATCGAATTCTGAGTTTAACGAAGAATATGTTGGTTTTACAAAGACGTTTATTTTTTTAATATTATTATTATTTTTTTTATGTGAACACTTTTTCTACCAAAAAGCTTACTCCAATCATTAAGTATAGCACCTTTCTTGAAAGGAAATTTTCTTTGGGTGGTACTTTAAAGAACTCATTTTTTGAAATTCTCATTAATATTTGAGATAATGAGGAAAACCTGGTTCTTTAAGTTAAAAATATTGAAAGATTAAAAATAAGGCTGTCATTGGCAACCGTTTTTTATATATTTTTTGTTATTATTAAGTTTTTATTTTATTATTTTTTAAACAATCATTGTTGTCATGGAAACGCACATTGTAATAATTTTACTCTAATATGACATATATGTTGATTACAAAGAACCACTACCAACTGAACTCCGCTCAGAATCGTTTTTTCGTTAGCAATCGTTTATCGTTGCTTACAGATATGCATTCAATTTCGATCTGTATCCTACCTTCCCAGCTTCCCACCTACAACAGTGACTACACCCACGTGCAAAGTATGTGCGTCCTTTTTCCAGTTTTTTTTTTTATCAAATTATAACAATTATATTCAAATATAAATATGTTAGTCCTTATCCTTACCAGTAATTGTATATATATATAAAAAAAAAAAAAAAAACAGGATTTGATTATCTTTATTTTCTCAGAAGATATTACAATGAGTATATCTTCGTGAGACAATTTGTATAGATATATAAACGTATTATGGAAAGCTTTACTCCGTGAGTTAGTACTGTTAGTTTCCTAAACGTTTGAGATTGATGTTACCTAGTCAGTGCTCGGTAACACCATTAAAATTGTGATAAATATTGCCCTCTCCTATTGCCTCGAAGTTTCTTTCACTTTAACCACTGCCATCATAAAATGTATACATGTAAATATGTGATGTGTAAAACTTCCCACCAGAAGAAATACTCAAATAGAAAACGTCATAATAATTTTTTTGTATCATTTTGAATGCATAGTCGGTGCATCGTTTTCGAAATTTTAGGTATTTTACCAAAAAAAATGGGAACCCCCCCCCCCTTAAAAAAATAAGAATATCTACGCAATGTAGGTTTCTTGATAAAAAAGGAAAACTTAAAATAACAATATAAGTCATAGGATTCATAGAAAATACTCTTCTTTATAAAATGTATAATTCTATCGCCCTGTTCTAAACTCAACCAGAGAATCGCAATCACTGAAATTCGGAATGCCTTTGTTTTTATAATATGTATTATGTGTGAGACATACAAAGAAAACAAATGTTATAGTGGCGATAATGTACCTTATGAATTATTAGTATAAAAATTAAAACTGATTGAATTATTAGTTAAAGAGAAATTTTGTTAAAAATTAAACGTTAATAATATTTGTAACAGGGCCTAAAATAGTGTATCTCCAGGCACAAAGTTTTTTTCCATGTGAATATCAAAGTGTGTCCTCTGAATTACAGATGTGTGTACCAACCAAGTTTTCTAATGTGTATATCAGTTTTAATTATACAAATTTCGAATTTCATATAAATATTCTTTGATTTTTTATCTCAATTTAAATTGATAACAACTTGTTCGTTATCAATTGTATACAAATATCATAAACATTAAACACGGTCTAGTTAATTGCATATCATACTGTATTAAAAACTCTAGCCGTTCCAGCTTCCACAAATTAAAGACTGTTATAAAATAAAAATGACAGCCGTATTGGAATATAATCCACAAGCAACCGTATTGTCATGGTTGAATAAAAAACCACGTCATGGTAAGACACATGAGAAAGCCACCACCCAAGAGTGGTATCAAGGTGTTTTTCCTCAAGCAAAGTACGATAATAATCAATCAGCTAATTATCTCACTTATTTAATCAATAAGATGCTATGTATTTTAAATTGTTTTATATCAGTAAAATTTATTGAACTTTTATTAATTGCTTATTGTTATTTTGAGTTGATAATTTTTAGTCCAAACTTAATATAAATGTCCAAGGTATAAGTATTATGTAAAGGGCTACACCACCTCACAGGTTGTTTTTTGGTATATATATTTAAACTTTATCAATTGAATTTAAAAAAAGTAAGTCCCCTGAATTCTGATATATATTAGTGGCTCTGGCTTATAATAAACACGATCAGGTCCTTTAAATTCTACAACGAAAACGCTACTTTTAAGAGAACGTTCGAATGTCCGTAATTAGATTATAAAAACCGTATTGTGTAGAACAAAACTACTCGGGCTATTTATATAATTAAAAAATTAAATGTTGACCATAAAAAAAGAAAAATTGCATAAAATTGCATGCTTTGATGTTTTTTTTTTTTTTTTTGTCGCTATTACAAGCACAAAAAAATATATCATTGTTTGAAAATCTGTTTGTTTCTAATAGGAATTCAACTCGAACAACTTTTTTCGCAACAGTGAAACTGAAACTGACGGTGCACAGCGCAAGTTTTCTTTATTTTAAGATGAAAATTTAGTTTCACAACTAAGTCCACAGTCTGAGTAGGTTTTGCCCCGGCGAAACGGTTTTTTGTAAATATTTTTAAGTTAATTATGAAATTACACCGAAATTACTTGTGATAATGGAACTATATAGTAAATATATGTTGAAAATGAATTTGAATATTTTTGAGTTAACGAAATTCTGTTTTTCGAATTTATGACGAGAAAATCGCATGTACGGGTACCGGCCCTTAACACGGTAAGTAGCACGTACTCTTAGCCGATCTCCTCTACTCAGGATCGTATTATTCTTATTGCCTTTTTAAATTTTAGATTCGGAGCGTAACGACGGATATATTTTCGATTTTAACATCTTTTCTGAAAGGGAATTGTATCTATCCGGTACTCTAGGAAGGTCGTTTTTTGATTGATTTTCCAAGCGGTTTTCATAATAATTAGGAAAAACCGTGGAAAATGAAGGAAAAACGGGAAAATGTACGTACACCTATAATAGAAACTTGGTTTCGAATAGTTTTTCATCGGCGATGGTTTATCTTTGCTTATAGACATAAATTCAATAAATTCCTCTCCATACCCTATACATTCCCGACTTCTAACCTACAACAGTGGCCCACAGTATGTCCGTCTTTTTTTTTTTTTTTTTCCACAATGATCGGTACGTACTACAACAATCAATATAATATATACTTACGGTGACCAGGCAACACAGGCTCACGACCAACAGCAGCGTTACGTGATATTTCGACGGATTCATTTCGCGCGGTGACGTTTATCCGGGTTCACGACCGAAACCGCGCGGACAGTTTCAGTTCTCTTTGGATACTGCGGTCACGGGTCATACAGACGGGAATCATCGCTATATCATATTATTTACACGTATTTATTATTTTTTTTTTTTTATTATTGTTATCACCGTATCAATATGATATCGAGTCGCCCATGATGGGACTTTGGATTATGCGATTGTATAACGTGGCGCGTGAATACCTATAATACTTACCTACAATACACACATGATGGGAATATGATGTTGTACAGAGGTTAACAAGCTATCGCGCGTGGTGCAGCGCACACCGACATTATTGTTAATCGTTATTTATTTTCTGCTTACCGGGAGGAAAATAGAAAAAATATTTTTAAAAAAACCGTACAACGTCCGCGGATATTTGTTAATCGCGTTGATTGTACGTTTCCCCCACCCTCCTCTCACCGCCTACAGAGAATGTTATCCCCAACCTGTTTAGGTTCGCAATAATATTTTGGCGTTTTATCGAACGCCGTAAAAATAGTTTGCCCGTGAAAAATAGCTAATATATTACAGGTATAGTAATGCGAAAAAAAAAAAAAAAACTAAGTATTATTATAATGTTTATTAATCAATTATTATTATTGTAACAATATTTTAAAGTTTTTACAACGCGATAATAATTATCAAGCGATATGTATCGACACGCGCGTTCCAATGGTGCCTCCTGTTTGTCGTCGCTATACTATTAAAATTATATAATATGATAATTATGACGGCGGTGGAGACGTCTAGACCGGTAGATAATCTAAACACTGAAAACATAAACATGTGCGTGTTATTATATTAAGCACGGCCGTGACGTATGAAATAATCGCATAACAAAACTGCAGTTACTAATAATTTGCAGTGACCGGCACAATCGAACAGTTTTGGTATCGAACAATATTCGACAGTTCGAATAGATTGAAAACTATTTGAATCATTTAACTATCGGATAGTTCGTCCAAACTATCGATACTATATAAACTATTTGAAAGCGCCCATCAAAGAATAGTTTAACATATTATAATAGTTTATAACATAATATATTAATATAAATATACAATATTAATAATAATTAATATTGTATATTTATTATTCCGTATAAATAAATAAAAACAAATTATTCCGTATTTAGAATTGTATGTAAATGTGCGCAGACCACATCCATATGGGCGCATGCAAACTCCGTTACGAGTTCTTTTTTTAATGTAATCTCCGCCAAAAAAAAAAATCAGGTAAAATTGAGTTCACCAGTAAACTCCACCAGTAGAAGAAAATCAAGTAACAGTATAAAATTAATATAATTAAAAAAAAAAAAAAAAATCATAATTTTCATAATCATAATTAATAATCGTCCACAATGTAATAATGGTTGCGCCTAATATGCCAAAATATACATAAAACTTACAAATAAAACGTTTGTTAAAAATACAAAATTACTAACCTAACTGTATACTAATATTATCATAGTAAAATTATTTTTATTTTTGTCTAAAAAAAAAAAAAATTATAATAATAATTTATTTTTAAGTATTAATAAATTAATCGATTCGACGTATTAAACCAATATAAATTGACAATTATAGCAATTTACCTATAACAAGTAAGAAATAAAACTGGCAGAGTTTACGTCATTAGACCTTTTCATTACCTTGTCATCTAACCGACATCCTGGCGGAGTATACAATCGTCCATTCATAGGTTATTTTGATTATTAGAAAAATAGGTCCCCAATTGAATATTATAAACATTTTATTAATATTATTTAAAATATGCGAAAGTTCATTTGGATGGATGTTTGTTACCTATCTTCACGCCGAAACTGCTGAACGAATTGAGTTGAAATTTGCTATAGATGTGTAGTTCTAGAGTCTAGATCAGAAATAACACAATATAGGCTAGGCTATTTATCCCCACGAAATACCTACCAACCTAATTTATCAAATAAAACCTAAAAAACTCGAAAATGTTAAACGCCTATAAATAACTGAAAAATTGCCGGATTGTTACGAAACTTTTACCACGTATAAAAAAAACTAATGTAAGTATTCCATACGAACATCGGGTATTTACCATTTTTTTTAACACAATTAAAAACAAAAAAAAAGTCCGATATAAATGAAATCGTTAGTGTCGGAAACTTCCCCATCTTTGTTACGTTTTTTTGCAATCATTTCCTATTATTAAGAAAACGAAAAGAAAAATTTTAAACGCTTACATATACCGACTTGACACCATTTTCTTTCGTGAAAGATGTTACACTTGAATTTTGATGCAAGTATTCTGGTATAAAAACAAAATCGAAAATATTGAAAATTTTACTTTCCGTTTTTCCTATACTTTTTTGGTTTTTCAAAATTATGCGATTAAATATGCAGTTGAAAAAAAATAATGTTTTACAGAAATTTTATTTTTTGAGAAATTTGACTGTGATACGTTTCAACAATTTTTGTTTTGTTTTTTTTTGGGGGGGGGGGAATCATTTGTGAAATTTAGATTTCCGATTTGAGAGACGATTAGTATAAGAATTCGTTGAGAGGCAATTGATTATGATTGAGAATTACACAATTTTTATCTGGGCACGTTTTTCGGGTGACGTAATTTTTGTGATACGATCAATTTCGAAAATAAAATGCAAACACATGTTTAATCGCCTGGAAAGTAGGTACAGTTTTAGGAACACGTTAGAATTTCCAAAGCCACGACGTTTTATCGTTTTACGACTGTGGACCGTTGCGGTCAATACGGTCGAGGTTAGTGCCTGCCTTTACCTGAATGGTCCGAAATGGTAATTACAGCGGTTACATCGGTATAGCCGTTCGATAATAAGGATTTTATGTTGTAGGATACGACGAGAGTGGAGAAAACCCGTATCTTTCTCGTTTTCGGGACGGTCGGCCGTTGTAAATTCTCGCTAATGTTTCGTATTTATTATTACATGTATTGAGAACAGTATATATTTTATTTTCGTCGCATGCGTATTTTAGTCGTATACAGAATTGTACGACTAAAATACAGCGGTGATGGAAACGCGAGCTTTTCAAAAAAAAAGTTTGTCGTGCCAATAGTACGGAAAATAATAATATTACAGTCTGGACCATATATATTTCGAGACGACACGAAAATATGAAATGCAACTTTACAACAATTGATAAATCGGCCGATAGGAAGAACATTTAAGGAGTATAAAACAATAATTTATCACGAGCGAGTAAATACCATAATAAACTATATTATACGTCTAATGTTTAAAACAGGCACATCGCTGGACGATGAAATAATAATATAATTATTTTTAAAAAGTTTCAATTAATTTATTTATACCAATTCACTACTTTCACACTTTGGTCCGAAGTCTACTCCTCGACACGAAATTATATTTATTTTACGTCATCTGTATTGATCTGCATTAGGTATAAAACAAAAAAAATATTCCCACACTATAATTATTATGTGTTAAATTTATGACGGTTGACCAATAATAATTACATTAGGTATACCTATTTACTGTTATAATTTGCTAAAGACACAGAGTCCAACACGATAATATCCAAAAATAATATTATTATTATTATTATTTTTTTTTTTTTTTATTGATCGAAAAAAAAGAATATGTACATAATATTTTTAAAGATATAATTTTATTTTTGATTATCTTTCTCGTTTAAGTTATGCTTGTGTTTGGGATAGAGTGTTAGATTTTTTTTTTTATAGATTATAGAACATAACATAACATAAAAAATATATGAACAAAGTAGCATAACATAGCATAATGTTTACAATAACAGCTAGGTTTATAGTAAATTGCGCAATAACCATTCATTTTATTAACTATTACTCTATTATTTCCATTATTGTTCTAATAATATAATAATCTTTGCTTAATGTCAAATTCCAATGAATTAAATAATAATTATTATATTGTAACAGTATATACCTACGTATACAAATGGAAAAGCATTCAGTATTCCGTTTGAATTGTACTCATTTGATATAAGCAGTTGTACATATTTAAAAAATAAAAATCTAATTGAAAATGAAAACTGATACTGAAAAGATCATTAGAGAAAAATTTTGATAATGCTTATGGGTGCTCCACTGTTTTAGATTGGGAATTATAGCGGAGAATAATATTCTCCCAATGTATAATATAGAAACGATTAGTCATAGTTTTCGCCAAGATAAACCAGAAATTAACAAAAATATTTAGATATTATTTTAGATTAAATATTTAATAAGAAAATTCATATTAAGTTTCTGAGCGGAGCTAAATTATTGGTAGAAAAATAGCTTAGTTCATTAGATTAAGAAAAATGCTAAATCTTCATGTATCTAAATCGACTAAATAATATTCTTGTCAGACGTCAGTTATTAGTTATTAACACCTTTTTATTTTTATTGTTTCATTCGATAATTATAATTAATATGTTTTGACTTATTTGTTATTGATGACAATGACGTGTTTTACTTACTTTGGGATCAACACCATACATACACTTGAACAAATTAAACGCGGATTGACAGAGTTCGTCTTGATCTGAAACGATATTACAAATAGTAGTAATTTGTTGACATAAGTATTTTGAACAAAAATAAAATGTACGTCAAAAGTATACGTTTTTGATTGGTACGACAATAATAGTACTATACCTTTTTCGGTACACTCCTCGATAGGCGGTATCAATATTTCAAGTATGTTTGGTGGTGCTAACATCGTCATCTTATCTTTGAACAGTTTCTTTTCAATAAATCCTTTGGAGTTGACCTACAGTGAAAAAAAATGATGAATTATTCTACACTACACATGTATGTGGCGTGATTACAAGGAGTATATGAGGCAAAGTCCCTCTCCCCCATCCTCAAAGATTTTATTTTTTGCAAATAACTGACCATGTAAAATTCAATATTGCATTCAAGTTCACGTATAGGTTGTTAGGATGGAATATTCTAAAATTCGAATTAAATTCAAGTTTGATTGTCAACTATATTATCATTTTCAACGCCAAAATCATTTTGTATTTACTGCATATTTTGCAGTTTGCTGATGGTAAGGTGGTCTTAGCCTATATCAGAGAGTTTCAGACGGCTGTCTCTGTCACCCTCATTGTAGTTATAGTGGGATGGTCTCGGCAGTTTTGTTTAACGTCTCGTTAATACGTCTACTTAGACGTAGATAATAAGTTTGAAGTTTAAAAATAAAATTTACTTTACGGAGTTTAAAAATTGTGTTAAAACATAATTGAAAATATATAACGAAAACATAGTAAAATACCATTGATTTTTTTCAAAAAGAAGTTTGAACATTAATTTATGACTTTTCTATAACAGATATAGACACATGATGCGGCTTACCACTAGGTATCAATACAAAGAGGCTAGGGTCAAAATACCTACCTACCGTTTTTTTTTTCTTCGGAATTTATGATCCTAGAAACATCTAACTGAATTTAAATATAAGTTATTATTATGTTAATAATGATAATATTGCGAGCTTAAAACCAAAACGGTGCTTTTTGTAAAAATGCTGTAGTTTCTTCGACGACTGGTGAAAAAATTCGATGACCAAAAGTGACCAAATTCGATGATTATTATAATTGAAGCGAAATTGATATTATACAAAATAATATCCTCTCTCCCCGAACGAATTCCTAATTATGCGATCGATTAACGTATGCGGTCGTAGAAACGTGCCTGTTCATCTGCAATGTTCTATACTGTTAATTAAGACGAGTATGTAATAATCGTTTAAAACACGTGATTCACGTATTATTTGTTTTGCTGCAGTTAATTTATTATTTTATTACTGCAAAATAATCATCTATACAATTTCACGAATTCAATAATAGTAAAAGAGTATTATTATATAATATTAATTGAATTTCAACAAGGTACCTAGTGAAAATTAACTATGATTAACATTTAAACACAAAAGTTATATAGGTAGGTGGTACGTTTCGTTCCGGTTAAATTATGCGACGTATAATATAACATATTTCAATCTCATTACAATAATACAATTCTCAAACCGTTGAAGAAATATTCTAAGATACAATTTTAAAAAAATGCAAAGTTCGTTCACATTTTGTTACGGCTTTATTATGATGGCCTACGATCGTCAAGACTTTCATGAAAATATTCTTCTCCCCATTGGCATTTATCCCATCATGAAATTGGGAAGTCAGCAGCTATATTATATTTTTCTTATTCTCACTCTTCATATATCTCATAAAGACTATTGTACTGTGTCTATCATCTTGCTCTAGATCAAATGTGCTCAAACTTGGAGTTATTTTACAGGCGAATTGAAGTGATAAAAGTTTGGTTGAATTTCAATATGAATTTAACCATGTTTTTGTGGATATAGGGTATTTTTATAGCTTTGAACACCACTACTCTCATGTATTATACACTTACCATTTGCATAGTTTTTAGAGTGCATCCGAAATAACACTGAAACAATAAACAAGGTTTTATTGCATTCAATTTTCAAAGTGTAAAACACCTTTATATTACCTTTATATTTGTATTATATTCCCGGCAAACTCGAAATCTGTCAAATATCAGAAACCTCGAAATAAATTAACGCCTTGTTTTAGCAAAAAAAAGTAACGTCTACAAAAATTGATTTTTTCACATATACACCTATCTAGCACAATATTTTTCGTTTTTATTCTAAATAACTATCTGCAATTGATTTTATGGCGAACTAAAATAATATAATATAATAATTCTAATCAAGTAATCAAGCCGGACGTACTTCACATCATAGATGTAAGCCACTTAAGTAGGCACCAGGCCGGGAGTTTAGAGGGCGTAGGATATACAGAGTGATTCACTAAGCGAACTCACGCCATTTGGTTAAATTGTGCATGTATTAAAATTCTGATTTTTGGAATTTTTAAGTGTAGTTAACGCCAACATTTTTTTAAATCATTTAAGAAATATCCTTAAATGAAAGTGTGACATACCAACCTTAGTTTTTTAAATGAGAACTTATAATATTGTACCGATTTTTCTGGTTTTCCTATGTGTTTTCCGGTTTTACACATTTGCTGGGAAAACTCCTGAGGAAATCGAAAAAATATCTCTCTATAGTACCCACCCAGTCGGAATTCCTTTTAGAAAAATTGTTAATATTTTAAGTTGGAGCAAAATTGCTGGTAGAAAAGTTGTCCACGGGAAAAAAAAAGGCCATAATATTTTAAACTAATACCTATATTTTTCCTTTTTTCGGTTTTTCATATTTGTTGAGAAAACTCCGGAGAAAAGCGACCTCTCTAAAGTACCTCCCTACACCGATTTCCTTTCAGAAACACATCACACACAGTGCTACACATAAAAATCAAAGCAAGATCTCAGGTAGAACATTTTTCCACAGAACAAAAATAAAAATAAACTTCTTTGTAAAACGATAACGTTCTTCGCTCAACTTAGAATCTAAAATGGAGTGAGCATGCTTAGTGAATCATTCAGTAAATATAATGTATTTTTGAGTTTGACCGCGATTTCGAGTTATGCCCGTAAAACAATTACAGGTAATATTATAATTTGTATTATAAGTAAATAGCTACTGAGTAATATTTTGACCAATCCAGAATCCGAATTACTATTACATAATCCGTATTTCTGATCATTCCGTTTTATCCGGGTTCTCAAATCCAATCCGTTAATTTGTTTAAAATAATCTAAAAAAGTAGAAACTAGATAGTAGACGCCATCAATTACGACTACTGGAGATAGTTCAACTGATATAATGTTACTTTATTTAATTATTTAAATAAATGATTTAGATTTTAATTCGGATTGATAATCATAATTCGAATTAAACGAATTGTAACGTTTGTTACAGTTCGGATTGGTAATCTGAATTCGGGTTGATCCGGATTTGGTGCTCAGCGCTAACATACCTATAGTTTTTAAAATATAGTTCGTACACTTAATTTATTAATGCGAACCAAAAATTAAAGAATATGTAATATTCTGTATGTTTTGTGTCTTACTTTTAAATTATCGTTGTCGTCGGGGAATTCACCTTCCTTGACTTTGGTGAGAGTCTCTATATAGGTACAATGTATATTTTATTGATCGTTAATATTTTAATAGTAATATAATATTGTAATATTATAGCACTTATAGCTGACCCCGCACAACCTTACCCGTGAAAAAACAAATGCCCCATGAATATAATTTCGTTTAAAAAAAGTATTAACGTTATAATAACGACGAAGATTTATTTTATTTAAAAACCAGACACAAACAAAAATAAAACACAATTTAATTTTTCAATAGAAAAATTGCCTACGAGAGCCCTCTATTAAGAAATTTACTTTCCAAAACATTCCAAGGCTCTAGACCCAGCAGTTTGGGCTATGCAATGATCGGCCAATCTACATCGGTAATCAATCTGGACATATTATGTGATTCAATGTTATAATAATATTGACTATATTATATTACCGAATCGATTAAATATTGGAATCATCTAAATCAATTATTATAAATTATATTATTATGTTACCATCAGAAACTGGAAATTTTTTGGAGCACACGCTTTTCAACATCTTTTGTGTTTTTTTAATAGCTGCTTCAGACAAGTACTGAAAATAAGAACAAAAAAATTGAGTTACAGTTTTTCATCGAACTATGGAATACTCAGTACTATTAACGGGTTATTAAAGGAATAAAATTTGAATTGAAAAGTTGAATTTATAACAGAATTAACAATTTGATTGCAAAGAGAAAATAATAATAACGTGTCTCCCCGTGTCCCTTTCCCCTATTCTCGTATGGGGATTTACCCTAGTTTTAATGCCAGACATGGAAAATTTGGGCCGTTTTTATTGTCTGTAAAATGTTTTTCGAAAAAAAAACCCAGATAATGAACCCATGAGAATGAAAACTGTTGAGAAATCAAAAAATGTTTCAATCCAAATAGATACCGTCAAATTGAAAGACTACCTTTCATATCGTACCATATTATATCTTGAAAACAATGAAAAAATCAAAGTATTTTTACTATTCAAAGTGTCTTATGAAAAAAAAACATGTCTATACCGAGGAAACAGAAAATTCCGCTCAAAATTTTAAATATTAAAGCGAAGAAATACGTAATATACAATAACACAAATGATTATCCCGGCAACTCTGAACAAAGTATTATTTCTTAATCCAAACTTTTTGTCAATTTAAATTTATAATCCATCGGCCCAAATTTTTACGGGTCCGGGCGAGAATCGTCTTACACCCGTCACCCTGCATCCAATTAGCCCCTACGTCTTAGTATAAAACTAAAGTAATCGTATTTTCTCCGTTTCCCTCAGAATCTAAAATACTGAATGCATTCAACACGGTATAGGTATTTAGGTATAGGTACTCACAGCATTGCAGTCCGTTAAAATTGTTAAACTAACGGCGAGAAAAACAGCCACCGGTAATATGTCCATGTTGCGATCGTGTTGTCAGCACCGATTTATTTAGTATTGCGCACTCATATCGGTTTACGGTTTATAAGGTAACGTACGCGGCCTTCGATATTAATATTATATTTTTAACGATCAAACAATAGTACCTATTATCATTGCAGTGCCGAATGATATTATTATCCGTTAATAACAGGTAATACGCGAAAAATATTCGAATAACATGCCGAATTATTACCCAAATAATATATTTTATAACAATATTATTATGGTATCGACGAATAATAGGTTAGACGGATGTATTTCCTTACTTCTCGTGCAGTGCACACACACAAAATATAATTAGTGTTGTAATTAGAATAAGTACACTGTAGAATGATATTATTAATTAATCAACTCGCATAAAACGCGTACATTTCTATAAGGTCAATGTAAAAATCACAAGGAAACGTAGAACATATATATATATATATATATATATAAACCGTTTACTATTTTAGATTCTGCAAGACTAGCAAAGTATTTACTAGTTATAAGTACGAAGATAATATGTAATTATATTTTCCACCCGAAACATTTTTTCCATCAGTAAAAATGCTTAGACTTTTCCATTCAGTATCCCAAAAGGTGCGAAATTTTCATTCGGTTGTACTTTATGTCAGATATTTATCGAAATAATATTTAATAACTAACCCATGGGTCCTTTTTTTTCTTTCAAATAACACTTTTTTGGTCAGTAAAATTGAGAAGCCAAACTATTCCCACCGTATCTTATAAAATTACTAGTAATAGTTAGTTGTTGTAGTTTGTTTAAAAAAAATTAATACAAAACTAAATAATCCTGTATAATATTCTACCATCACAACTACACAATTAAAATAGTGGTTTAGCCATGAGAAATATCAACTTTTTAATAATATGACTTGATATAAGTAACAAACATCTATTGAAATATTCAAGCAGGGTGTATAACCAAAAAAAAATGAGCTGATACTGCTAACAATGTATCACTGTTATAGTTTGGAAATTGGATTGGTAAGATTCATAGATTAATTAAATTTACATCTGTACGTGATGATCAATTATTGCTACCTAATGAAAAACGATTCCGTGTGCAGTTCGGTAAAACATGTTTTGAAACGTAAGGATTTTCCACGATTTTCGTCAAAAGTTTAACTTTAAACAATATTAAACAATTTTATTACGTTATGTTCAATTTTTTTCATGGAAAAACCGGGAAAAAACGTCAAAGGAAAACGGACAAATTTACGGTGTTAACGATTTCGTTATTTCAAATTTTTTTAAATTATCTTTTCTACCAGAAATCTTGCTTCAAAATTCAAATGGAAAACCACTTCTGATAGATATTTTGTCAAGTTGGTGTGTAAGAAAAACGTTTTTTGATTTTCAAGTAGTTTTCCTAATAATTAGCAAAAATCGAAAATTAGTTTATGAAACCCGGGAAAGTAAACGTCATTAATGGTTTCATTATTTTTGATTTTAATTTTTTGCTGTAATTTAGTTAAAAATAATTGGATAAATAATGAAAACATTCTAATGATTTTTAAACTACTTATTGGCATTTTGAAAGGTTTCTTTTAGTTTTACTTGATAAGTGAATATTATGTAGATTTTACTAAACACAAATGGTTAAAATTTGAATACCTACGAAGTTTATTATAAACGAATTGTGGCTTAGTGGTTAACACAAAAAAATTGAATATAATTTGGTAGTTTTAGATTCTGAATGGAGCGAAGAAACTTATAGTTTTACAAAGATGTTTATTTATTTATTTTTTATCTGTGCGCAACTTTTCTACCAGAATACTTGCTCAGATTTCTATGTACTTATTCTGAAAGAAAATCGACGTGGGGAGGTACTTTAGTAAGATCATTTTTCGTCTCTCTCAAGAGTTTTTTCATCAAATGCGAAAAACCAAAAAATAAAAAACGGGAAAATGTACGAAATATAATAAATATAATCTTACGTTTTTTTTTTCTGTGGACAACTTTAAATGATAGCAATGTTTAGGCAAAACTAACGCTCACAAATAAAATTTTTCACATTCCTGAGATTGGCCCGATTTCGGTTTTTTATCGTAACATAATATATATTATATAAACCTACACAATTTTGTTTTTTTTATAAATATATTATCAATTATAATTTAAACTACTCGCGATATTTTGTTGTGTATTACAAATTTTAAACTGTCCCCTCCTTGATTGAGCTCCAGATACGCCATTTCAGATATGTTAAATGGTAAAGTAACTACAAAATAATATTGTTTTAAAAATGCATACACAAAAATACAACACTTTAGAGTTTAGTGATTTTTAATAGTCTATAATACGAATAAGAGGAGGGTGGCCGCACCTACCGCTACTCTGGATTCACATTTAACCGGCTGCCCAGCAATCTATAATCTTGTGTTTATTCTAATAAATCCGTATCGATAACTGCTACAATATTATATTAATATGATGCTCTACATTTTGTATAGCGAAATGATTTTATCTCATTGTGTCTACAATATTATAATAATATTATTAAGTGTGAAAATTATCAATGATCAAAATTACCTATCCGTCCTCTTACCAAATTTATGGGGAAGTGGCGCAAAGTGTCCTCCAGGCTTCCTTAGGTTTATGTCTCTGGGCCGTTTAAATAGCGAAATAGCCCACAAAATAATGTTTCATAATTAGATATTGGTTTTCCCCGAAAAATTCTATCCGGGTTATTATAAACATAAATAATGTACCTACGTCATTCCCATACCATCCACTATAACCACAGTAAGGGATACAGATACGGACAGCCGTCTAAAACTCATTAATTGGCTTTGGCCACGATCGAACTGCAAAAACTATATATTATGACACGTTTTGAAAACAATAATTTTATAGATACCACCTACTTATCCGACAAAAAGTTTTAATAGTTTAACTAAATTAACACAAAAAAACAATTAAAAAATACATCTACGAATTTATTTTTTCGGTCGTAATTTAACGTGATAATATTAAACAAACAACTGTGACCGTTGTAAATACGTATACGCGAAAATATGGACAATGTGACGACACTTTTTTAGTTCGCGTGTATTCCGGTTTACCAGCTTGCTCGGGCATGGCATAAATGTATATACATTTTGCATTAAGTATCATTATAATAGTATTGAAATTGTAACAATACTATAGAACGAAAAACATAAAACTCAGTAAATTAGAGATGGAGGCATATAACTAGAACTGAGAACTATTATTATTTATTATATATGTATATATTATAGTGTTCAATACCTAAGGAAGTAAATTATTATTAATTATTCTGTTTAATAGATGTAAAAGTATAAGACAAATTTAATATAGGTACCTACCTACTTATTTAAAATTCAAAATCTTGAGAAAGTTTTTAAATAATATAATGTTTCAAAATACTCAACGATATTACGTTTATTAAAAACCGTATAAGTATTTTTATTAAGTATTTATAAGTTATTAGGTTAATAGGTTTATGAGTAGAACGACAAAAGTGAGCACACAAAATTAGCAGCTAGATGGCAGTTATGATGTTATTGCGTTATCATTTGTTATTCATATATTCTATTTCAATACTGTCTTCAAATTTTTTTTGGCGAAAACATATTTTTATGTTATGTTTTTGTTATAGCAAACAAGTAAATTGTATAGTAATTTCCATTATTGATTTAGATAACATATGCATATAATAGGTACCTAATACATATATACAAAATATCCGGATTTGGTACTGGTATTTATATTGAAATACATTTTAAAAAGGGTAAAAACAAATTGTAATTACTGAAAATATATCTATATTCCTGTTGCTGATATCACAATGACAATAATTAATCATGATTTATTTAACACGGTATGACAGCAACTTTAACGAAAATGAGATCCTACTGTTAATGGAATGAACAATATTTTATCAACTATGCCATGCAATATGATGTCACTTGGTCTAGACTGAATTATATTTAAAATCAAAAAAAAAGCAGCAATATTATAATTTATTAAAATAAAACTATTTTCGTATGTATATATATGCATATTATATACATTTAGAGTGATTTTTTTCATTATACAACATTTATTATTTCACAAAGAAGATTTCCATAAAGTAATAATTATAATTACTACTAAGTAGGTATAACTCATAAGCTACTTTTCCAAAATTAGATTTTTATGTATCGAAGTACTCTGAAAAATATTCTGCAATACTTTGTGAAATAGTAAGTGTTGTGTAATGAATTGAATAATGATAGCCTTACTTGTCACTTCATTATGCGAAGAAACTGAAATTGTCAACACGAAAGGCAATTGAATTATTTATACCAATGCAAGCACACAAATCAATATATACAACTTGTTGATGCTAGTTTACCATGTGATAATAATGGAACTGATGTCTTTAACTCCGTAAAAAATACAAATTTTGTTGTTTAGTAAATAATATACACGATTCATTTTTAGATTACAGACCGTTTTATTTGAGATGCATAATGAATTAAAAAAATTAAAAAAAAATTAAATTTTGAAAAATACAATACAATTACAACAAAATACCATTAAATCATTTGAAAATAATAATAAAAAACATTTAAATAATAAACCTTGAGTCTATGCTATAAAATAAATAATAAGTGAGGACAACATGGTATGATAACAGGCGATTGATCGAATGATATAGACACAATGTGCAGAACTGTGGACTGTTATTTACATAACATTATAATACATAGATATTAGATACTAAAGTACGTTTCACGAAACTAGCAACTCCGCAGTGGCGCTTCCGGTAACAGATTTTCATGAGGGTTTTCTAAACATGTGACCAAAAAAACGAAGCAATCAACCACCGAACAGCTGGCTCTGTTGATATGAATTTTACCTTCCACTGCCAAACATTTTATAACCACCATATAGGTATCATAGAGGTATCCAT